ACCATTCGTGTACTCCGTAATGTATTCATTTATTCAGTTATTTGTAGATCAAACAAATACTTATTGAAAGTCTGTTATGTGCCAGTCAGATTCTTTGAACTTATATACCTCCTTTTATGAGTAGTTATTTTCTTCTTTGATGCTACCTTTTTTTTCCCCTGATCAATTATCATATTTTCTTTCATAGAGTACATATGGGAAAGACTCAGATCATTTTAATTGACATCAAATTCAGATCAGTCAATAATATGATGTGGTCTTAAGGAGTGTAACTCACTGTCCAAAATGGAATACTTTGGGGTAGTGAGACATGAGTTGCTTATATACTCCAGATATTAGCGCTTATCAGATGTATAGTTTACAAATATTTTCTCCGATTCTATAGGTTGTTTCTATTTTCTGTTGATGGTTGTTTATGCTGCACACAAGCGTATTAGTTTAATGTAATTCCATTTGTCTTTTTTTTTTTACTTCTGTTTTCTGTACTTTGGGGGACTTGTCCATAAGCTCCTTGTCTGTTCTAATGCCTAGACTCACTTTCTTATTTTCTTCTAGTAGTTTCATGTTGTATATTTAAGTCTTTAACCCATTTCAAGTTGATTTTTGAAACATGAGAAATAGGGTTCTCTATTTTTTTACATGTGGATATCCAATTTTCCCAGCACGCTCTATCAAAAAGACTTCTTTCTTCAATGCATGTTCTTAGCACCTTTGTTGAAGATCAGTTGATTGTAGATGAGTGGGTTTACTTCTAGGCTTTCTGTTCTGTTCCATTGGACTCAGTTTCTGTTTTATGCCATTGTCATTCTGTTTTTATGACTGTAGTTTTATAGTATCGTTTGAAGTCAGGTAGTATAATATCTCCTGCTTTTTTCTTTTCACTCAAGATTACTTTGGCTAGTTGAGGTATATTGTGGTTCCATACAAATTTTAGTATTGTATTTTCTAGTTCTGTGAAGGATATTGATGGTAATTTGATAGGGTTTGTGTTGAACCTGTAGATTGCTTTGAGTAGTACCGATATTTGAACAATATTGATCATAATAGTATGACTTTCCATTTTTGATGTCTTCTTCAATTTCTTTTCATCAGGGTTTCATAGTTTTCATTGTAGAGATCTTTCACCTCTTTGATTTAATTTATTCCTAGGTATCACCTCCCTCCCTCCCCCTGTTGTAAATAGAGTTGCTTTCTTGATTTCCCTTTTAGATAATTCTATATTGGCATATAGCAATAGAACTGATTTTTGTACATTGATTATTTAACCTGCAGCTTTGCTGAATTCATTCATTAGTTCTGAGCTTTTTGGTGGAGTCTTTGGAGTTTTGTATATGTAATATTATGTCATTTGCAGAGATAATTTGACTTCTTCTTTTCCTCTTTGGATGCACTTAATTTCTTCCTTTTGCCTGACTGCTTTGTATAGGGCTTCCAGTACTGTGTTGGATAAAAGTGGGCATTCTTGTCTTGTTCCAGATCCTATGGAGAAAATTTTCAGATTTTCCTTATTAGTACAATGTTAACTTATGATAAATGACCTTAATTTTGTTGAAATGTATTCCTTCCTCATCTCATTTGTTCAGATTTTTATAATGAAAAAATGTTAAATTTTATTAAATTCTTTTTATCATCTGTTATCAAGATTTTTCCTGCATTCTGTTTATGTTTTAGGTCTGTTTACTGATTTGCATGTGTTGAACCATCCTTGCATTTCTAGAATGAATCCCACTTGATCATAGTGAATAATCTTTTTAATGTACTGTTAGATTCAATTTGCTAGTATTTTCTTTTTCTTTTTTTTTCTATTTTTTTTAATATTTTTTTTTTAGTTGAACATAATACCTTTATTTTGTTTATTTATTTTTATGTAGTGTTGAGGATCGAACCCAGGGCCTCGCGCATGCCAGGTGAGCGCTCTACCACTGAGCCACAACCCCAGCCCTGCTAGTATTTTCTTAAAGATTTTTACATCTATGTTTATCAAGGATATTGGCCTATAGCTTTCTTTCTGTGTGGTGTCCTTTTCTGGTTTAGGCACCAGGGCAATGCTGGCTCTGTAGAATGAGTTTAGAAGAATTCCCTCTTCTTCAGTATTTTAGAATAATTTAAGAATTGGTATTAGTTCTTTAAATATTTGTTAGAATTTAGAAGTGAAACTGAGCTGTACATTTCTAAGTTATAAAAATAATAGGTTGTTGGGCTGGGGTTTTGGCCCAGTGGTAAAATGCTTGCCTAGACGAATGAGGCACTGGGTTCAATCCTCAACACCACAAAAAAATAATAAATAAAATAAATGTATTGTGTCCATCTACAACTAAAAAATGTTTTTTAAAAGTAATCATAACAATAGGTCTTTATTAGTCCTAGAGAAACTATTGTGAATAACTGCATTTTCTTGAGCTTTTAAATTTAGAAAAAGTTACTATTTTTTTTGCTTCCATCTTCTTTATTTTATATAGTTAGATCCTGAAAAATTAGAGATTAAAAATAAAATTTAATACTTTTTAATGCAGTATAAAACACATAACACAAATAATTGCAATTTCTAATTTAGCTTGCAAAAATATGGCTTTATCTTTTTAGTCATTATAACTGCAATCATAATCTTAATATTTTCTATCTGATCCAAAACTTTCAAAACATAAGTTGTTTACAGAGTTGTATTATTCAATAAGCTAGTTCTTCATTAATTCAGTGTTTTCTCAAATATCTTTAATTAACAAGAAAATTATGAAAAATAGCACATTTTTAAAAGAAATTCAATAGATAAGTATACAAAGTAGGATGTGAAAATCAATCTTAACTACCACCAGTGTTTCCCTTATAAAAACCTTCTTGCTCCCCAGAGATAATAATTTCTAACATTTTAGTATGTATCCTTCAAAACCTGCCTTGTAACAATTCTGTACTTTCAGTTGACAACAGTTCACAGACTGTGATGTCATTTCTTTTGGAAGCCCCACATTGGGTTGGTGGTGATTCTGTCCATCATTATTGCTTTGTCAACTGTGCCAAGGAGGAATGTTGATTCAGTCTTGCACTCTGACCTCGTGGTTTTCTATATAGAAGAAAAAAGATGCATATAATGGTAACTATAATACAAATTGAAAGAGCTGTAAGACAGGAACAGATGAGTGCTATGGGATTTATAAGGTAAAGAAAATTTGCTTGACTGGCCAAGAGTGAATATTTGATCTGTACCCTGAAATATAGGCAAGATTTACATTGGGGGAAGGGCAAAAAACAGATGTACTGGCAAGAGAAAGCACAGTAATGCAGTCTTTATAAGGTTGTTCCATTTTTCTAGGCTATGGGAGCAGCAGCAGATCAAGATGCAAAGTTACTGTGAGGGGAGACTCAGCCCCCCATAAACTTTTGGAAACTTCTGAATAGTCAAGCGAGGCTCTAAGTAGCTTAGCCCATCCTCAGGGCTCAGCTCAGACACCACTCCTCTGGATGTCTTTTCAGATTCCTGCCTGTTACACTCCGCACAGTACTGTCCGCAAATCCTATGTATAGAAATGGAGCAGTTACAAGGATAGTGACTTGGGAAAATCCTCAGAGTGAACAGTGGGCCCTGAAAATGATAGCAGGAAAAGATGCTTAAATCGTAGGATTCAGAAGGAAACTGTGGGGAGGGTGGTCAAGGTGCCATCGTGGAGAAAGCTGGACAGAGCAGGGGTCAGCAGCAGTCAGACTTGGGAGGTTTGGGTGGGTGTGGGGGTACTACTCCAGGGTATTTTTGCAGCAGTGTCCCTGAAGAAATAGTAGGTACTAGAATTTGATAAGGGGTCATTTCCTTATCCTACATTTCCAGGCTTAAGTTGGGAATATTCTCTTGTTTCCCAAAACTCATAGATGGTAGAAAGAGTAGAAATAATAATAAGCATTCTGTTCCCACAGAGTGTCTCATGGGTCTGATAAAAGGGTAGATGTAGCAAGTCTAAATTCCTTTAAAAGTACTATTGAGCAAAAATAATACCTACTTTTTTAACATAGGAAAAATGTAAACCTACTTTTTTAACATAAGAAAAATGCAAAGAAAATGTTTAAATATCCTCCTACTAAACCCCTTTTCCCCACAATGAATAATTAGTATTTTCAGGCTAATGTATATTTTTCCAGCTTTTATCCATGCAAATTGGTGTATACATAGACTGGAATTTTAAAATTCTGATAATGCATATTATTCTGCAGATGGTTTCTTGCACTTAGAAATATGTCATAAAATTGGGCTGGGGATGTGGCTCAAGCGGTAGCACGCTTGCCTGGCATGAGTGCGGCCCGGGTTCGATCCTCAGCACCACATACAAACAAAGATGTTGTGTCCGTGAAAACTGAAAAATAAATATTAAAAAATTCCCCCCCCCCTCTCTCTCTTTTAAAAAAAAGAAGAAAAGAAAAGAAATATGTCATAAACATCCCTCCAAGTCAGTGGACAGAGTGCTAACTTATTTCTCTAGTCATTTTTAAATAGCTGTGTATAAATATAAATATTCCATAATTTTTTCTGACATTCTTTTGTTAATGGACAATTGGGCATAATTTCCAGTTTTTTGCTATACAAACAATATGACCAAAAAAAAAAAATAGTCCTGGGCATTGTGACGGTAATCACTCATACATATCAAAAATAACTTTTATATTGATGACATCTTTTAATGAAATACAGCAGTGTGTGCACTTTTGCTGTACCATAGGCTAGGCACTAGGTGACATAGAGCTATATAAGTTTAATTAGTTAAAATTAAGTAAAAGTTAAAATTCTTTCCCTTACGTTAGCTTCATTTCAAATGCTCAGTAGTCATGTGTAGTGGCTGCCATACCGAACAGCCTACAAGAGTCCATTTCTATTCTACAGAAAATTCTGGAAGACCACCTGAACTAGACACTTGAATGGTACATTTTAAGGAAGAACATGTTTTTCAATGAGTTGGTGTTTTTATGAGAGCACATTTAGAAAAGTAAAAAGTTTGTGTCTTTATTGGTTGCCTCTGCAGTTACTTCAACGAGAATCAATACCCAGATGAAGCAAAGAGAGAAGAAATTGCAAATGCTTGCAATGCAGTTATCCAGAAGCCAGGTGAGGGCCAAGCCCAGGCTGCTCTGTGTGCTGCTCTTGTTACGCTGCATCATTTAGGCCACTGCATCTCCGACTCATTTCAAGTCAGTGCTCTCTGCTCAGCCTGTGCCATCCTTCTGCAGGTCACTGCCTTGTCTTGTCCTGTCCAAACAGTACTTCTGAGGGATATTATGGCATTCAGAATCAAATGCTCACACACACTGAAATTTCCAGGGAGAGACCCTGCAAACGGTTTGAGACCTTGAAAAATTTTTTATTTTATGTATAGATTTTTCTTTCCAAAATTTAGCATAAATATATCAAGTCCAAAATGAACTCACAGTTTGAAATATTTAAATAAGCTTGCTAATAAAAAGATTAGATAGATTTTTCTTTTTTTAAAACAATTGTTATACATTGTTTTGAGTTGGCTCCTGTCTCCTCCCCACATTGGGATGACTTCTGCTTAGGAAAAACTTAGGTAACACCCTTTTAAAGTCCTGTTGTTCCTGTGCAAGTCAATGGAGCCACTTAAATCCTTCATAAGTATTTTATTCCATGTACTTGACTATTTCACGTTTTACAGATTTTTGTTACCAAAAACTATTCTCAGTTAAGGTTATCTAATTGATTTCCATTTGGCCAGTTACTTTGAATGGCTTAAAGATTATATGCTAATGTATCCATGTCTTTTAACAATGAAGCAGTAATTTATTTTCCCTTCTGTTAATGGACAGTTGGGCATAATTTCCAATTTTTGCTACTACAAGCAATATGACAATATTGTTATAGCCACACTATAACAGCTCCAACTGTATGTAAGTGAGAGGAATCTGTACCCTTTTTTACATAAGCCAAAAGTCCTAGTCCTAAAGCTTTGCAGGAACTTGAACTCTCCCTGGAAAACACTGTACCCATATATCACCAAGACCCTAACAAATCTGTTTTCTGGTTTCTCCACCCACTGTGGACTTAGAGCTGAAAAACGGAAATGGACAGGAGAGAAGGGAATGGTACAGGTGGGTCCTTATTGGCAAGCATGGTACTTTTTGTAAAAAATTACATTCAAAGCAAAGAAAATAGTAAGTCTGAAATGCAGCCTGAGTGATACTGTGTATTCCAGTGTAGTCACAGTAATGCATGGTCACAGTGGCCTTTAGCCTTCAAGGAAGCATGTGTCATATTCCTGGTCTTAAGACAGGAAGAAAATAGTTAATAATGAAGGCCTTATAGATGTAAGTAAATTTCGATTGTTTGGATACTTGATAAATAATAACAACATTCCCTGGAATGATGCTAATTAAATGAAGCCTCCACAATACTATCATAAGAACTTTGAATCTAGCACCCTAGCATACTGACTTTGTGGAATTATTTACTATTATGTTTGCCCTTATGAATCAAAGCATATTATATAAAGAAGCACATTGTATTATTAGTTGCTAGTTATGTACTCATGTGTGTCTTTATTCATTTCATAATAATTTGAGTGAAAACATGGTACTAGGTCATGCTAAAAAAAAAAAGATTCTCCCTGCTGTTATTTTGACAATAAATGGAATCAAAAGCAACTTTTAAAGAAGAAAAGTATTATCCCTTAAAACTAGTTCATTCTTGGGTCCAAGATATAGATTATCTGAATTTTATTGCATGCATTCACAGGCAAAAAATTGTCCGATCTGGAACGAGTTACCTCCCTGAAAGTATATAATTGGTTTGCTAACAGACGGAAGGAAATCAAGAGGAGAGCCAATATCGGTAATGTATCAGAGAGACTGCTTTCTCTCATGAGGAAGTTACAAACATTGTGTTTAAGAGTGACTTCCGTTCATTAACTGCAGGTCTAAATGATCCTAATAAAAATCACCTGTTTTTTCTCAGTGTATATTTATTTATTTATTTATTGTAGTTTTAGATGGACAGCATGCCTTTATTTTGTTTATTTTTATGTGATGCTAAGGATTGAACCCAGGGCCTTATACATGCTAGGCAAGCACCCTGCCCCTGAGCTAAAGTGAAAAAGGAAGAAATAAAGCATTTCTTTCCCCGATCAAAGCTGTAACCAAAATAAGAAAAATAATTTTTTTTAATTGATGAGATTGGGGTAGGAGATTGGTTTTGCACTTCTAAAATTGTATTTCATTTAGACATACACTTCCTGTTCATCATCCCAACTCTGTGATGTTCTGTAGGACCTCAAGACCAGTTAACAAGTTTTAATAATCAGGGTGGACCACATGACATGCTAGTGGCAGGGACAATAGGATGGCCAATGTGCATCTCCCTGAGCTGCATGCTGTTGGCTTCCACCCACTTGTAGTTCAAAAGAAACAAAATGTTGATGAATTGTAGGCTCTCGTTTAATGATATTCCAATTTCCTCAACATGAAAATTAATTGTGTTTCAACCACTGTGATAAGGCAGCAGATAATTTAGGGATCTATTTGCTTTTTTCGAAGAAGCAGCAATCCTGGAGAGCCATGGGATAGATGTACAGAGTCCAGGAGGCCATTCCAACAGTGATGATGTTGACGGGAATGACTACTCCGAGCAGGTGAGCAGCTGGCACCTGAGCCAAGGTTCCTGGTTAGTGAGCAGTGGGACAGTGTGAGGACAACTTAGATCCTGGGGTGTGGTGGTGTGGGGCGGGGGAGGGGAAGCAGTCAGTGTCCCTCCATTCTGCTCACGTGTCTAGTTAGAATTTCATGTAATTTGAAAGGAATGTGGTAAGATTCAGTTGTCCTGTTGAATTTGTGAGAAATCGCTATTCACCCACATGGATTTATTGTCATACAACAGGATACTTGGCAAGTACGCAATGGGGAGGAGGAGGAGGGAAGAAGTTCAGAGGGAGGCAGAGAAGCAGAGAAGGTAGAAGAAGAGAGGAGGATCTGATCCAAACAAGCAAGTTACACCATTCACCACACACACTCAGTGTTTTTGAGAAGTACTAGGGGCAACTGGGCAGCTGTGTGACCCATGCCTAAACATGTACCGACGCAGGGCGCAATGGAAGGCCCCACCACTCCAGCCCCATTGCTGTTGGAGCCCTCATGCCAGAGGAGCTGTTTTTCCACAGTCTCTCTGGCACAGTAACACACGCATCCTCTCATAAGTGCACCATCTGCATGTCTTTTCATCTCACATGTATGGGAACTCACCAGTGTGGTTTATTCTGCATCGCTTGGGGAAACGTGTATTTAATTGTAGCCACTGCATGGAGTAATTCAGTAACTAAGACTGTGGGAGTCCCCCCCCACACCTATGTGTTGACAGATTTCATCAAAAATTTTTAATAGGACTTAAGTTTCATTTCCATTTTGAAAATGTCGAGAACATATGGTCCCTTCCCTTCTACTAACCCAGCAAGAAAACTTTTGCTCTTTCCTATGGCAGTTTTCCCTGCCCCTCAGCCCTTTAGTAAGCAGTCCATTGTGTTCTTCCTTCTCCTGGCTCGTTTACTGACTCTGCTTACCAGCTCAAGCCCACAAGGTACTCAAGAGCGCGTGCTGTTTTCCGTGGACCCCTGCCTTAATCCTGAAGACTAATATGTGAAATGAGAGTGAAACAGTAACACCACACATCTCAGGGTTGCCTTTTAAGGACTCGAAGTCATAGCCCCACCTGTTATTCAGAAGAATGTTCTCTAAGTCTTTCTAGTTAGAAACGTTCCTGTTATTTTTCAGTAGACCAATAGAGAGGGATCCTTTCCATCTTTTTTTGCAGATGCCCTGAGGGCAGCACATCCCATGCTTTTTTCCCAATGGGTTTACCCTTCCAAAGCTCTGTGATACAGAGTTCCCCGAAGATGTGAGGGTGAGAAACATCCTCCTTCCTTGTGACATTGTTTTCAGTGCCTGACATGCACCTTGCTGCACCAGTTTTCTTCACAGCTTTACTGTTTAAGTGTTGTGCTTCAAGGGAGAAGAGCTTCAACTCACTCTAAGTTAGATACCCACTCCCTTTCCACAGCTACTTTCAGCAGGAGACACCACAACCTTTCTCCCTGGGCCAGTTCAGGCCACGGCACTTTTGTCCTATTGTATCTTGAGATTTTTCTTCTTTTATCTATAGGATGTTGGTGCCTGTCATTTTAAGTCTTGTTTACATGGATTCTAATAATCTATGAGAGTAGCAATCAGGAATTTAAAAACTCACTAGTGTGTCCTTCAATGACTAGTGCTATATTTGTTGCATACAGATCCAAATTGTTGGGTTTTTAATCAATCAGTCCAGGTTTGATCACTACTAACCATTTTTTTGATAGAATGAATAAAATTGAGTGAGAACAAAACCTTTTAGTTATTTTTATTGGATGAGTCATAAAAATGTCAACTGGAAGTCTCTGAACCTATATCCATTCAGTGTCTACTTAAATACAGTTCACCTCTACTCTGACATGAGATGCTTCCCAACCATGTCCTCCACAAGTGTTCTGCTTCCCCGGCCCCTGCATGCTTCTCTGTGAGCTAGAGCACAGCACCAGTCAACTGATAACATTCATTTCTTATTTCTGCACATCTAGGATGACAGCACGAGCCATAGTGATCACCAAGACCCCATCTCATTAGCTGTGGAAATGGCAGCAGTGAACCATACTATCTTGGCATTGGCCCGACAAGGAGCCAACGAAATCAAGACAGAGGCCCTGGATGATGACTAATCAGGGAGGGTTAAACATGACAAGTTAACTTAGTTTAGACGTAGCACCTTAGCAGACTTTCCTCAGTCCTTAACATGTGTTCTTACAGTATAACTTGCAGTTTCTTGTATGTCAGGTAGCCGTTAGGGTCTTGTTCTGTGAAGATGGCATGGTGCCCTCAGCCTTTGCATATACTCTCTCAGTATTAATTCCCAGTAAATAATAACCAACCAACCAACCAAACTCCCTCTCCCAGCCCCTGAGGCTAGAAAATCTTGCTGCTCCGTCTTAGCATTCCACAAAAGTGCTTCCAGGTATTTAGATAGCCCTCAGTTTTCAAATATTAGGCTGTGTGTAAAATCTTGGGTACCTTTAGATTCATGTAACACTAGTCTGTACCCCCTTTTCCTTCCCCAAGATTGATAGAATGCAAGCTGAGGTAGTGGCACAGGATTGACAGACACCATTTGGGGAGTATGCACAGAGTGAAAGGAACACTAGAACCCCACCTCAGTGTGAGAATCACTGATATCAGCTGCAATAAGCCGTGCCTCATTATAGTCACACTGTGGCTAGCCTATACTTCTTTGGGTGCTGTGCTAAGAATGTCAATGGAAAACTCGATCTCAGATTTTGGTTGATGTTAACATGCCTGACACAGACATCCTTTCCTCTCACAAGCTGTGTGACTTAGTAGATAAAATACTGCCTTCTGCCTTTGGGACCATGATTTAAAACAAAACAAAAAGACAAAAAAATTACAAAAAAACAAAACCCAGCTTGAAAGCAGTATGAGCCGAATGTCCGATGGATGTTAAGTCCAGCTCTCTGAACCACTGTACATTCCGCAGCACAGTTCTTGGTGCCTGCCTGGAAAAGTCTTGGAGGTTATCGTGGAAGTTGCTTTCCTCCTATTGGTGTCCCCTTTCCCTGCTACCAAAAAAAGTCTTTCACAGATAGAGCTAAGGTCAAAGATGAGTGAAAGAACGTAATCTTTGTATCCATTAACTGAAGCCCCTCAATCTGAGTCAGTAGAGGACTTTGTAGGGGATTGTGCTGACTATCACAGATGCAAAAACTTGCCCAAATAGAGCGAAAAAAGCAGGGGACATTTACCATTTACATTGTGAGTGTGCAAGATACAATGGGATGTAACTGCTTTGTTGTTCTCTTTACTCTGTCCTTGTAGAGGTATGAAAAGCTATATTGCTACAGGCAATTTATTTAATAATTGGAAGCCATATTGATAATGGATGTGGTAATATTTGTAAAGTTTAATCTACTTTAAGCAGCAGTAACTAATGGAATTTTTTTCCTTGATCACATATGTAGCACTTTTGTTACTTTTTAAAGATATTTATATTTGATAAATCTTTTTTCATTTTGAGAACTCAAAATACCAAACAGTGAACTTGCGTTTAAAGTCACCCTGTGATCACCTTGTCATCCAGTAGCAAAATGATGAACTATTCATGCATCAAAGAAAATTACATCTGCTGGCCTTGTATGAAAGTGATCTCCTGGCATCGCGATTAAATGACACACTGTCACTATGGGTGAGAAGAAAGAGCCTTCAGTGGCAGGGTAGGGTGTGTCTGAAAGAGGCACAATGGCTGTGTGTTTTCTGCCTCATTCCGTCTCCTTCATATGTCTAACAAAGCCTTGTTTAAAGGGGAGTGTGGGCTGGCGTTGAGCAAGGCTGTATCTCTACCATTACCTAGAAACAGTTTCTAAGATGGAAGGAAGGTGCCATTTCCCCTCTCCCTCCTCCCTCACCAAATGTATTAGAAGTGAGAGAGAAGAAAGATTCCTGACTTTGTCCTTGTTTTCCCCCTCTCATTTGTGGGATTTTGAATATCTGCCAGTTGTTAGCTGGTCTCAGTCCACTTAAGACATACACTGACAGGTCCTCCCCTTAGCCGTAAATCCTGCTTATATATAAGTATGAAGAAGTCTGCGAGGGCATTAGAATGCCATCTACCTAGTCTGTGACTTTAAAGATCTGCAGTAGGGCCTGGTCCTGCCCGTAGGGAAAATGTATGCACTTTTTCTCCCAGCTTCCAAGAATTTAAGTAAAACTGAGCAGTCTTCTCTGTCTTACTGTGTTACTTGAACCAACAAATTCAAGAGTAGCATTAATTATTCTCAGGAATGAGCCCACCACCACCACACACCTAGTCATATTCTTTCTTGGTTTATTTGACTTATTTCAGTTGGGAGATTTTGTTGGCTTTATTTCCTTTTTAGAAGAAATATGTTGTATCTTTCCTTTTTGGTGGATTTTTTTTTTTTGGCTTATTCTCAGTTGAGTCAGAAAGAACAAGGGGAGAAAGAAATGTATTCTCTGACAAGCTACTTCCATGATTTATTGTGGGGAGATTATTGTAATTGATGGCTTCTTTACGATGGGATTCCTGTGTCATCTGTTCTTGCCTTTTTAAAGGAACAGACCCAAACTGCTAAGACAGCTGCAGTCTAAAGAAATTCCGTGATTGCCATAGAAAGAGCTAGAATGCTTCATTGTTTCAAGGCCTTAAAGGAAGCAAAGAGATGTCGGAGAATATGGTGGAGCTGGCAGTGTGTAGGCAATGCGGACCCTGTCTTGGAGTGTGGTGACAGTGAGGTGGCAGGCACCCTGGGGGTGGGGCTGTGGAGGAAGGCTGGGGAGGGCTGGCTGCTGCATAGCCCATGCCTTATCTAGGACTTTTGCTTTTCACCAAGAAGAAAAAGTTCCTTCTTTGGGGTTAAGATTGAAATATACCATCGGATTTCTGTTTGTCTCCAGGTTCACTTTGGCTATATCTTGTCCAGACCACCTTTAGTTCTTATAATGGCCAATAGAGCTGCCACTGTTTGATTTTTAGTATCTTTGGATGGGAAATATTTTCTTAAGTTTTTTTCAGGTTTTAGATGTGGTATTAAAATAGAAACCCTACAGTGCTCTAAAGGGAAAGGAGCCAGGCTCTTCAAACTCACACTTCTCGGTGTCTCTGCCCCTGCTTTCATCTCCGTCTGTATTTCTCCAGGCCCCAGAGGGCTCTTTCAGGGACTATTCTTCCTGGTTGAGGAAGACTCTTAACAGTGAGGTGTGAGGTGACCTGCCAGCCAAGTATTCATGTGGTTTGTCCTTAGTTATTTTTTAGATACTTTAATCGGATGACTGTAGTCAGATGGGTAGACTTCCCTTCCTTCCTGAAACACTGTACATGGGGACTTTTCAAGATGGACCATCTGCCTGTGGATAACCTTACTAGCAGATGGAAGCAGGCAAGGGGACACAGGAAATAACACTCTTACCTAGGCTTTCTAGCACCATTCAACACTAAGTAGACAGTTTCTTTCAGCATAACATATAATGTAGAAGTACCCCATAAAACAAATTTCTTCCCAATTTTTGTCCTTTAAGTGCCCCATCACAGGAAAAGGACACCTGGAACAGACAAGCAAGGAGCCTAGTTTAAAGTACCTTTCACCCCAACTCAGTAGAAGTAACCCCACAAAAAGACTTGAAGACTTGAAAGAGGATGATCATTAATACTGAGTTACACAAATCCAGTCCTCCAGTTCCTGAAAGATTTATGATTCAGCAATACCCATTTTAGGTCCAGATGTCTGGATATATTTTTACCTCTAAGGGGATAACACATGAAGAAGTCACTGAAGTTGTTTGAATTCTACCTGTTTGGCCTTTGTCTTTAGGGAATCTTGGTTTTAAAAACTTGCCTCTTGGATACCAATCATCAGGCACCAAGTATAATAGACTCTCAGTCAATAATCTGCCACTTCCTGTCTCTGAATAGCTCCTCTTCCATTTTTCTAAGTGTTCTACCATGGTGCCCTCATCTTGAGTTGACTTTACTAGAACTGTTAATCCTCTGGCCACAGGCAAAGTGGGTGGTTCACCCATCTCTGAACACAGACCCCTCCTGTGATGGCCAGCTTCATGATGTCTGCCCACAACAGTGGAATTGAGTTCTATTCCCCAAACAACTGCCCACCCTGTCCTAGAAATGTGAACTTGAAGCCCTTTTTCCCTTTGATCCTAAGGAGGATTTGAAGTAGTCTTCCCTTTTAGCTTATGGCTCTGCCTCTTAAAATTGCCTTTTATCTTTTGTTCAGAGAACAACCAGAGTATTTTTTTCCCAGTGAGTCTCAACAGATTCTTAGGCAATAATTTTCCTTGTGGTTGATGATCTTGTGTTCAGTAGTTCTCCACATTTAATAGTTATGACCTCTCCTACGTTTTGTGTTGGTTTCATGTTAATCTTTGTGATCAAAATCCTAAGCCAGAGTGGTGGTAGATTTCTTTCCTTTTGTTGTGATTTTTAGTGATGTTTGACTACTGTATTCATTGGGGCTGCATCAAGACCAGCCATATCCATTTATAGCTTTACTGAGCCAGATTTATTTGTCAAGTTTTCCCAAGTAAAAGTTGGGCGCATTGACCAGCTCTGCTGGTGGTGTCTTCAGGGGAGTGGGAGTGGGGCGGGAGGTCTAGGGCAGGAGTGGGTGTTTCATGTGTACAGCATTCCTTTTTCTGTGTGCTCTTTAAATAGCAAGGATGTTTACTCAGGATCACTCGTCAGCCATATTGGTTTTGGCAAACTTAGCTCGTGCCCTGAAAACTGTTTCTTCACTTACTGTTTCTTCATTTCCATAGTGTCTGGCTTAACATAGCCTGAAGGTAGTGTGTACCCTGATGGGAGTGGAAGATTTCCTGGGAAGGAACTGTGAGTGGCCAGCTTATTTCTGAGGATTTCATGGTAGCGTGCTGTCAGAGCAGAGGCCCTTTCTTTTTCTGTTTTGTGGTTTTCTTCATTATCCACTCTTGGTTTCAAAGATGCCTATCACTTAAGAAGAGAGATCTCCTTCTCGCTCTCAAGAGAACTAACATACAGCAGCAGCAGCGAAGCCTGTTGAGATGCAGCACACCAACATACCAGTTTCCTATTGACTCAAACTCCTCTGCACACACAGGGTATATTCAGAAAGGCCATTGTCAGTGTCCTTTCTCTACAAACTGAAAGTGAGAAGCCCTGTCCTTGCCTCCTACAGGACTGATGTTTGACTCGCCTCTCAGGAGTGCGACTTTGTTCCTATCTAGGTACCTTCAAAAGCTGGAAGTTTGTAAATTGAGAATTTTCTAAATCCATTCTATTATTCTTTAATTTGGGCAGAACTAACTCTAGCTGATCTCATTGGGGTGAAACCTGACTGGCCTTTCTGCAATCTGGCAGTTTATCGCGTGCATCCCACACCCATCAGCCCCAACAACAGCAGGACACGTCAGCAGAGGAAGCTTTGCGGCTGTCCTCTGCTCACGCCCCCTTTCTGTGGCCAGTCTCAGCAGCAGTCCTCATGCCCAGAGTCTGAACCTCAGTGCAGTGGCCTTGGCAGCGGGCAGCAGGAGCACATGCAGCTTGGTATGTGCTTGGGAAGTCCTGGGAGGGCAGCTTCCCTGACTCCATTTTCATTTTCTCTCTTTTAAATAAGACTGGCTGTGTACAGCCATAATTAACTCACAAATTCACATTGGTGTGCTGTGATCAAATGAAGGTTTGGCTGAATCTCTTCAAATTGTAACCATGGTAATTGAGGGGGGTGGCATAGAATGAATATATAAAAATATAATGGCAATTGTTCTGAATGACTGAGTGTCCTCCTGACATGTAATTAGCTGTTTTAGCAGGATGTAGATTGGCATGGTCATAATTAAGAGGATTTCTGTCCTTTATGTGATTGAAAATAGCAGAGCTTCCATCCCTGTTCCTTTTTAGCACTAATGCTCCCAAGAACATTTGGAACAGCAACTCAGTAAACTAAAATAATGACACAGTATTCATGTGGTCCCAAAGTAGAAGAGAAAGATTTAGAGTTATTTCAGTTCCAAAATGGAAGCCACCCATTGTTGCCCACCATCTGACTTCTAGTTCTTGAAACTACTCTCACATCCACTTTCAGCCCGCTTCACCTGGGGCAGGAACCGCAGTCGGAATCCCAGCTGCCAGCCTGGGAAGGCCTGGGGCTGCCTGCACCCACTTGCTGGCCTTCACTCCTGGTGCCTTGCTGGCCTGACATGGCGACAGTCACAGCCTCCGGGTATTTCTGATGCCATCACCGGTCACTATTCACCAAGCAGAACTTCATGGGGACGAATGACATTTTCCTCCCTGGATCATAGGATCCAGAGCAGATGATACGAATGGAACCTGGCGCCTGTAGTATTCTGAAGTCACCAGGGCAGGAGGAGGCGTGAGTCTGCCCCAGCTCCTCACTTGCCACGAGGAGGGTGCCACCTTAGGTGACTCCGCTGTGTCAGTGGCTTGTCTCCTCTCCCTTCCGCTGTCCTCTATCCCCGCTGCGCCTGCCCCGAGGGGCATCACATGATCTTTACACTGTCTGTGGCCCTTGCTCTTCTCCTGCTGAAGCATCAGTCATGTTGGGTAGGATCCAAGACGCGCTGGCCTTTCTCTGGCTGGCTTGGTGTTTTTTGTCGCTTGCGGGAGCCTTTACCTCACTATTCCATCAAGAGCCTGTAGGAACGCGGCGGCCAGCAGTGCCACGGGCCTTCTCAACCCATCCCCTGTGTGCTCAGGAGTCATGCTCTGGGAGCCTGGGGCCATTTGCCCGTCCTCCCCAAGGCTGGACACTCCAGGACTGGTTAGTAGTTGCTGGAGAAAACTCAGCATGGCTTTTTCCCTTATTCTTTTAGTGTTTGTCCTTAAACAAGCCTTTCTCACACCTCAGAAGCAGCCCTTGCCTAGCTGACCTATTAGTTACACTTCCGTTTCCTGAGGATGCCGAGAGGTGGCTGCCTGTTTAGAACTATCCTCTTCCCCTGTCCCCAGACACACAGTTTAGAAGGTTTTTATGCCTTTTATCCTTCCCAAAATACCTAAGAAATGTATAGAAGTTGGGCTAGTACAGGAAAAAGAACCTGTGAAAGATTTTTATTCAGCGCTTCTATAAACGCCACCTTACCCGTCACCACCAACACACACGCGCGCACACGTATGTCTACAGTCGCTGAAGGCTGCTCTCTTTGGGATCTGTCAGTCTCTGGGACAATTGATTATGGGCTTATAACCCCAAAGAGCGGAGCATCCCTTATCTTGTTTTCAAAGCTACTGAAAGGGGACTCTGCGTTAGCACTTGGAATCTGCCCTAGGACTAGAGACTCTAAGGACTGACCAGATGGGCTAATTCTGTGATCTGTGAGACATGCACCAAGACAGCCAGCAGAAGGTGGGACCTCCTTACATGAGCTGCTGGCCTAGGGATCTGAGTCCCAGATATGCTGCCCCGGGGACAGTGCTACTTACACAGACGTGGCCCTGCTTACATTCTCAGATGTTCCCAGAGGCTACTCTGATCAAACAACCCTACACCAGATGTTCCTGTACCACCAGCAGCCCACCCTCCCCCAAGAAAACCCCTCACCAAACCGATGAAGACCTAGGTAATACTCACGAAGTCAGCTTTTTGGAAGAAAACAGCAAAAGTAAATTGTCTTTGTAAGAATCTAGAGGGAAGATGCTGTCATCCGTAACCCTGATAGTACCGGAGACACTACTGTTCCTTTGAGTTCTCAGCTCAGAAGAGCACCTGACACACGCATGGTGTTCCCTGGGCACTGGTCCAAGCATCTGTACTGCCGCCCCTGGTCCTCAGGGAGGCCCACACCCTCACCCTGCAAGCCAGATGGGCCTCCAGCGCGTGCTGCTTCTAGTGGATGCAAGGCAGGGGGGACCTGCTCACCCCTGCTGCTGAAGTCGTGTCTGTCAACCTGCTTCCTTTTCTCCTGGGACAGCACTGGCCGTCCAGTGCAACAGCACACCATCACATGGCCCCTTCTCTGTGAGCTGAGTACCCTTTGACGTGGAGCCAGCCAGGAAGAGGACCCAACCCCACAGCCTTCCTCCACAGCCCTCCCTGAGGCCTCCTCCTGGGTCAGGGTCACAGCAGGCCCCACAGCTTGTCGGGAGGGGCAGAGCACATGCGAGCGGGTGCTCCTTGCCCCACCCCACCCCCGCACAGCAGTGGTGGCAGAGTGGCACGTCCAGTGTCTCCTGCTCTCTCTTCAGCTCTCTTAGCAACTTCCCAGGTTCCTGCTGTGTCCAAACATGGTTTTGCTCACCCTCCGTCCTCTGCACCGTAGTCGTGATGGGAGGCAGCGGGGTGTGGGAACTGGGCTCTGGTGTTGTGGTGCTGAGCCTCCGCCTTGCCTTGTGCCTCCCTGGCTCCTTGGGAGCCTTAACTGGCCTATAAGTAGCAGCTGCATGGAGACAAACCCAGATTCAGGCCCAATAGGGAACTCTAGTGTCCAGAATCCAGGAAAGATTGAGCTGCCTTGGGGTAGGGGTTTTGGGCCCTGTCCTGCCAGGGTTCGTGTGGGGGCTCAGTGACTGGTCAGGAACACTGAAGAGGAGATAAAGGCTTCAAATGGACCTGAAAATTCAGCTAACTAAAATTCTGTGCCCTCTCCCTTTTCAGCTCTTCCCCCATACTTGACGGGTTCTCTGGGTACTAGTTCTGTCACGTTCTCTCTTCTGATCTGTGTCACATCATAGGCATCCTTGAAGCCCAAGAGAGTGAAAACAGGAGCAAGACCACAGGTGTGGGCAGTCCTGGTAAGACAGTCTACCAGGTGACTAGTTAGGGCTGGTTGTGTTGTTAGCTGGCAGTGGGGATTATCTTACCCAGCCCTCATCCCCCATGAACACCTTAATTTGGAGGGGAAAGGGTATGTGTGCCTTTCATTTTTGTACTGATCCAGATTTTGCTTCTCTGGTGGTGGTCAGATGACGTGGAAATTTAGAACAGGGACCACTGCTTGGTGCTGTGCGAGTAGGGAGCCCACAGGGGTCGGGGCAGAAGCAAGACTTAGGACTTGTGGTTTCAAGGTGTGTTCCTCCCTCTCGGAATTGCCAGTGTCCCAGCACTTACAGGTGGAGTCTGAACAGTCTTGTTCTGTGGCTTCCTTTGAGCACAGAAACCTCTCCCATTTTTGCTTTATTGGAACTAAGAGCCCAGCATAAATGTGAGCGTCACTGTCCCCACCTCGTCGTTCACTGAAGCTGTTAAATTGGAAACAAGGACGTCAGTGCTGTGTCAGTGTGAGCCTCCGCGGGTGCCACACTGTCCTCTCTGTTGGGGCCAGAGCCAGGGGCAGCACAGGCTGAGTAGCCCACGTGCACTCTCAGGGGATGAGTGAAGCAACTCCCTGCAGCTCTGGAAGTGGCCACCAGAAAGGCCAAGCCGGAGTTCCAGGGTGAGGTCAGAGTGGGCTCTCCACACTCTGGAAGCTCTGGCGAGTCCTCTCCTTACCACCCTTTGGTTTTGCCCAAACACCACCATGCGGGGCCTTGTCTTTTCCTAGTAGTATCCTCTGGCTGACCCTGTGTGTAACCCGTTGGGGTGGCCCTTGGCAGCCCAGCCTGCTGCCTTAATGGCTGCAGAGTGGGGACCTGGAGAGGCCTCTGCAGGCCGCTGAGCCCTACATATATCACTGGCTTCTTCACACCTCCTGGCTGCAAGGTAGGATGCTCTCTCTGCCAGAATGTGCCAAGATCATGGCAGTGGCCTGCCCTGAAGAGCCCACAGCCTTCTCTGATTTCCCCCGGGCTCGCCTCCCTCCCAGGGGCATGTTGGGTGTATTTCCAGGATAAATTCTTATTTATGTTTAAGTGCCTAAGCAAGTTACAGACCTCTGGGACCTGCCAGAGAGTCAGCCTGTGCCCTGTCCTTCCCACCCTGCACCTGGCCCTCAGGGTGGGCATCAGGTGGCTGCCCCTCCCTACTGCCCCTGCTGTTCTGCAGGCAGAACGACCACAAGGGTAAGCAACGGGGAGAGCTCTTCCTGGCCCGCAGGCTGGCTTCGTCACTGTTCCCCGTTTCTTTCGTCAGTGTGCTTATGGTCTTGGTTCGTAGAGAATTTTAGGGAGTCTGCTTAGCCATCTCGCTGGCTACTGAGCAATGGGGACCGGGGAGCAGGACAGTGTCAGAGCAGAATCTGTCTGGTAGCAGTTGGAGGATGCACCCAGATCCAGGAGGGCAGAGGTGAAGCAAGCACAGCCTGAGCCTGGTGCCTCATCCCTCCCCAATCGCAGGGGCAGGGCGCCTGCTCACAAAGGCTGCTGGTAGGGTGTTGAGCAAGATCCAGCACACAGCTTTGGGAGTGAGTGTGAGAGTGTTTGCTTCTTTAGAGTGATGTAAGTGTGACCTAGCTATGGCCTTTATTCCAGGTGAGTGTAGGACAGATGTGTTGTGACTGTGCTCTGTTCAGATCACATTGCCAAGCAGCACACCAAGGACCTGTGGGTACATGAAAAGGTTTTGCAAAACGGAACAATCCATACTCAGGCACTTTATTTTCATTAATAACCCAGCATTTTCGTTCAGACCATGTAACAACCCGAACTCTGTGCATTCACACACGGCGTGTGGGCAGGAGTTCTGCCAGGAGGAGAAGGGCAGGTGGCTGGGTTGTGTCACACCGGAGTGCCACCGAGCTGTGGTGCAGACCGGGCCTGTCTGGGAGTGAAGTCACACAGCTAGGGCAGCGGCACCGTCCTCCCTTAGGTCCTGCCCAGTGCTGGCAGTTGCAGTGTTGCTGAGCAGAGGTGGTGTGAGTGGGGGCGCAAGGAGAGGCAGGCAGCAGGGGACCTGGCCGCCCTTAACTGGATCGAACACTCCAGTCAGAGCAGAGTGCTGAGGAGTGAGGTCATTTCTAGACAAGTACGCTTGTTTTAGCATCTGTTGTGGGCCGGGCACTGGCTGGCATGGCAAGTTTTGTAAGAGGGACTGCGGATGTGATGCCTGTGGTCCAATCAGGTGCCCCAGGCCAAAGGGGCCATGATTCCCAAAAGTATTCTGCTGCCACCAGACTTCGGGTGTCAGATGGGCCGTGTAGGATCCTGCCAGATGAGTGGGCAGCACAGCCCCTCCCTGCCTTGGCCATTGTGTCTTAGTTTTTTGTGTTTCCCTTTGGATCCCCCCATCTCTGTCCCCATCTTGTGCACCATGTGTCCCTGAGGGCGAGTCACACCTGTGTCTGAGTCTGCTGTATGGTGTTCAGTCTACCTCAAGGGTCATCATGGTAAGCTCTGTCCACACGAATCCTCCTTACACGCCACACACTGGAATGTATATCTCCCTGCCCTCCCGCCCTCCATAGCCCCTGACCCCGTGTTTCCTGTAATCACAACTCCTAGTGCAAATTGGATGCTGCTTTAAATGTGAAAACAATTGTTCAAAAGCTATAAAACCTGAATGAAAGCTAAAGCTGAATTTATAAGCCTTGTTGCATATGAGCCAAAAGTGCAAAAAGCTCTATATACTGAACTAACCTGCCACTCGTATAAATATAAATATATATAAATATATTAAAATCAGACTGTTCTACAAAATTGTGTATTTGTATTTTTGTGTACGTACAATTTTCTGCTAAGCAGAAGGAGGATGTAGTATAGGATGCTGTGAGAAAAGACTTGGTTTAATCCTGTTTCTTTGTTACTTATTTTTGTTAACATCAGATGCCTGTCCTTGTCTTCTGTGTTGACACTGTTTGGAAAGCTGCAGCATGTCTTCCTTAGGGCCAGGGTCCACGAGAGGATGATGTCTGGGGCTTTTGAGCTGTTGCAGCCAACAGCCACCCAACAGGGAGTGTGGCTCATGGAAGCCCCGGGTGGAACCCGGAGCCACTCATGGACCTTTGGTGGCACGGAGGGGAGGGGAGGGGAGGGCTGACGCACTTCAGACCAGGCTTGGCATTCTGACTTGCCTCTGGGAAGCAAATCCCACTTCTAGAAACCAACTCCCGAACGGAAACGTCAGCTCCCCCTAACGGACTGCACTGGGCCCATGGGGAGCCAGGCGGGAGAGCTCTGTCTTGGGAACAGGACCTCTGGTTTCTGGGCCATCCGTCTGCCCAGGAAGCAGCAGGTGGCTCTGCCTGGCCTGCGCCCAGCTCCCCTTCAGAGCAGTCGCTGCCTCTTTGAGGTCAGATTTCCACATGCCTCCCGCGGAGCTGCCCCACTTCACCACCAGACCTCCAGCCCACACCCTGGGGCATCTCAGAGCCCACTCTGCCGGTGCTAAACACAAGAGGGGGTTAAAGTGGCCACCAGTAAAGACCAGAACCTGCCTCCAAAGGCCAGGCCGAAAGATGAGCTCCGGGTTCCCACCGCTGCCCACCCACCTCAGCCCCCCAGTCCCTCGCTGGGAAGTGTCCCTAGGGAGAGCGATGCTGCATCTTCACCTGTAGGACTCAGTTCACGGCAGTGTGTGACTGTAGCAAGCGGCCCTTGTTTCTGGATGTAAATGGTCAAAGAAACAAGTGCTCTATTGTATTGATTAAAATAGTTCCAATGAGTCCTGTTTCATTGTATCTCCTATTCTGGATTAGTGCCTTTTGGACAGTAGACTGTTCTGTAATTAAAATGTAGTATATACTGCTTTTTTGTACAGTTTTGTTTTAATAAAACTTTTTTTTAATTTGTGTTTATTTTAGTATTGTACCTATTAGAGAATAAAATGTATAACTGAACAAAGGCTGGCTGGGATTTTTTTTTTTTTTGGATCAGAACATGCTCATTTGGGAATGCCTGTCATTGCTGAAGGGGTTCAAGGGTCCTATTCTTGGCACTCTTTTCTGCTTTTCTCAAAGGGATAGGGGAGCCCAGAGACCTGTGGAGAGGCTCACAGCACCGGGCACTACGAGCTTCAGAAAGCCCCCATCTCCCACTTCCTGACCCTCCAACCAGTGCTCTTGGGCACCTGCTCCGTGTGGTCTTTCAGGAGCTCCCCTGCCCCAAACCACCTTCCCCAAGGAGGGAGCGCTGCTCAGCCTGCCTGCTGGGTCTCTCCTGGGACTCCTGGCTTTGTGGGCCTCAGCCCTGGGAGCAGCCTTTATGGTGCCTGGCAGCTTCGTCTGTATAAAGGAGCTCACTCTCGTGCTTCCCCTTGAACAGGAGAAACAACAAAAGCTGATGCTCCGTCTTGGTTTTCTTTCTAGGCATGCAGTTTCTGAGCAGACTCATGCCACACTCTGGAGCCCACTGATTTTCCTCTGAGGAGAGGGGCTCTTTTTTTTCTTCTCAGTAGAATTAGAAAAGTCCACAAAATTTTAAAGCTGCCCCAAACCTTGGAGTTGCCAAAGGGAGACAGGTAGGGCAGGACAGCAGATGTGGGCGGAGGCCCAAGCAGGACCATCCCCACCCCATGCTGCTCTGCTACTTGGCCTCAACTGCCATTTCCCCTTACGCAGAAACCATGAGCTGTCAGTACCCAACCTGCTTGCCTGCCTGCCTTCCTGTCTTCCATGTGTGCTCTTCAGCCTGGCGTCTTCCCAGCTGCCCTTCACCAAGTCCCCTCGATGGAGTCCCAGGGCCGCCTTCCTCACACCCCACCAAGGCAACAGGCCCACCTACCGTGAGGCTCATCAGGATGGCTGTCTCCACTGGACCATATGCTCCAGGAGGCTGGGCTCAGCACAGGTACCAGTGTTCCAAGTGATTCAATTAGTGAACAAATGAACTAATGGTGACATCCACTGGGAACCCGTCCCGGGGTCTGAACAACTATAAAACCCCAGAGCCTGATGCAAACAAAAGGCATCTCATTGAGTGCAAGAAAACAGCCGCTTGAGAACTTAGGATTTACCCTCAGACCTCGATAAATTCCACTCAGATTCCTGCTGCTTTCAGAGCAGGGCTGCTCCTGGCTTCCGCATTTCTGTCCCTAGTTGGCAGTGCTTATCTCTTGAGAACAACTCATCTGCACTTAGGAATACAAACAAGTCCCATTCAGTTGTGTTCTGGCGGATGGCCACAGCCCTCCGTTGGCAAGGAGGCCGTGGCTGTCGGCCATGAGGGGAGGGCCGAGTGATGCAGCGGCCAGAGAGGAAACCTGCACAGGGCGGCGGTCCTGTGGCCGTGAGTGGGACTTCACAGGCAGAGCCAAGGGCCCTAGCCACCTCTCCCGGCTCAAAGGCCAACCTGCCATCCTCGGTGTGCTCCAGACCTATGCTGGGCACACAGCTGGGCAGATGGCGGTAGGAGGTCAGCCTCACTGGCAGTAGGGCCCAGTAAAACTGTCAGGCCCCACAGCCCACCTGGACTTGACCCAGACCCTGCCAGCCACAGCCATCATCCTCCCTTCCCAAAACTCCTTAATGCAGAAACGTGCGGGGTCTGTCTACCTTTCAGCTGTAGAAGACACCCTCTGCTCCTCAGTTCAATGCGGGGTGAGGCCTGTGGCATGGGTCAGGGTGGACAGTGCAGCCCTGCCTATGCTGGTTTTCTGAACAGGCTAAGGAGGGGTGTGTGCCAGGCGACCCTTCTAGCTTCCACCTTGAGATGCCCACCACCACCACCACCAGTGACAACAGGGCCATGACGGGGACAGTCTGCATGAGCCCCCGTCCGTATAGAAAAGGGAGGAAGCAACAAGACCAACCCCAGACAAGGCAAGAAGTCATTGGCTTTATTCAGAAGCTGCTGGTCATTTGATGGGAAGGCATATATGGTACAGAGTTACAGCATTTAGTTCACCACACAGAGGAATCATTAAAATCTTTACAATTCATTACAGTCTTTGGAATTTTTTTAACTCCCATTTAATGTGTACCAAATCACTATAATCCCCAAATCAAATCACTTTTCTGTGTGAACTCAAGATATTTACAAAATCCACACAGAGAAGCTGTTCAGACTCTCCCAACACCAGTAGCGTGTGCAGCTCACCAGGGCACCAGGCCTTTCAGAGAGAAAGAGGCTTTGGGTACAGTTGTTGTGGGGGTGCACCCCAGGGAAAGGCACTACAGATGGCCCCGCCACCTCAGTGCCTCCTAAGGTGGCATGGGGCTGATGGCACCAGAAGCATCAAAATACGCTCCACACCCTGTAGCCTCCACAGACAGGGCGCCTAAGCAAGGACAACCTGAACCCAGAACCTCCTGCTTCATGTATAGGCAATGCTTAAGCCCAGGGGAGAAAAGACCAGGAGTGAAGGGGACATGGACACCTGTAGGCCTTCCCAGGAACCCACTGCCCAGCACTTCAGTGACCATCCCTACTGCACACCCTTGTTTCTCCAGCCACAAGTTAGTGTTAATCTACGCCAAAGAGCAAGAGGAAAGACTAAACCTGAGCAGGCCTCACCCAGCGCCTGCACAGCTCGCCTAGCGGGAGACAGGGCTGCCCAGGAAGCCGAGGGTAGCATTAGTGCTGAGAGCCTCCCACAGGGAGCAGCTAGTGCCTCCCTCTGCCCTAGGGGATGAGTAGGTTGAGTGCAGGAAGGACCCAGGGGCAAGCTGCGGACAAGGCCCAGTGGGGTGCTGTCCACCAGCCTCCCCTCCAGCTGTGCTGTCCTTCCAGAGGCCACATCCTGCCCTTGGGGCAGGGGCAACAGAGGCACGCCCTGCGCCCCCTCAGCTATGGACACAGACACAACACCAACAGAACCAACTCCTCACAGGCTCACGAGACCCCGAGCACAGGACCCTAAGCTGGAAGAAAACTCCAGCCAAGAGCACAGAGATGTCTCCACACCACAGCACACGCCTGTCCCCGCAGGCCTGTGAACAAGGCTGGAAAGGAGGCTGCGCTCACTGCACCAGGTAGGGGGGTGACCCTGGGAGATGGGGAGGAGGAGGCCTGGGTGAGAGAAGGTGTCCCGCACTCTGCAGGGCAAGGACGAGGGGCCTGAGCCACGTTGGTCAGCCTCCCCGCTCCTGCGCTCCTCCTCACAAGCTCTTCAAGTCGATGATCCCTTTTTATCCTCCTCCACTTCAAAGGCCCAGAATGATGAAGAGAATGATGAAGAACAGCACCAGGTTCCCCCCTCCCGGGCCTATGACCATGGCTCCAGCAGGCCCTGCCCGACTCCCACCTCCAGCTTTCTCTCCTGGGGCTCCCGGGGCTTGGCCTGCCCGAGGGAGGGGCTGGTCGCTGCCCAACAGCCACACAGGGGACACTGACTCCAACTGAACCAGACTCCAGAAGAGCCAGGCTGCGCAAGAGGGAAAGGAGAAAAGCCAGGCAGAAGCCCACAGTGTCCCCAAAACAGGAAGGGAAGGCCGCTGGTCAATGCCTGCCTCAGGATGGAGGCTCCCTCCAGTCATGCTGTCCCAGAAAGGGGCAGACCGGATCCCCTTGGCAGGGCCTTGGCCAGCCCTGACCCCTCACAGTGCCTGCTCACAAGGGAGGATCATGAAGACGCCAGCCCCAGGCCGGGCCTGTGCAGACACAGGCTGGACGCTGACCCTGCCCGAGGGACTGCTCCGGCCTTAGGCTGTTCCTGGCCGTCCCCTGGTGGTCAGACTGCCCTGGGTTAATTGTCCTGGCCTCTGGCACCGTGTGCTGCCCATGCTGGCCAGAGAATGCAGGGGGGCCAGCTCGGGCTTGGTGGCCCCATCTGGAGATAAGGTCTAGCACTGCTTCTCATAAGGAGCTTCAAACCTCTTTAGAACCGGGTTCCTCACCAAAAACTTCCGTGATGGTGTTTCCAAGAACCAGACCCAGCCGCCAGGAGTGCCCAGTGCAAACTCCGGCCCAGAGGTGCTGTCCTGAGCTGGGGTCGGTGGGCAAGTTGGGGCTGCTGGAGACAAGACAGTCTGGGGGTATCCACACACACACACACACACACACACACACACACACACATGCTGACCTCCACTCAACACAGCTGACAGGAAGGGCCCCAGGATGAGAAGCCTCCCATCTGGCAAGGAGGGGAGCCACCCCTGGGGAGGCTGTGGCTGGGGGCCTGCCTGCGGCTGCTCTGGAGGCCTAGGAGGGCAGCCAGCCGCTCCCTCCCCAGGCCGCCTGCCCGCCAGGTGGAGGAAGTTAAAATGCCACCGTGCACCAGCGAGGGGGGTGCCCCTCTGTGCTCCTCCCCTGTCCGCTCTCGTCGTGGACAAAGCCCACCAACAAACACATGTGTGCCGGCCACACACACACACACACACACACACACACACGCACACTCCCGTCTCCCCCAGGAAGCGCTGCCCAGGCAGGAGGCCGGTGTCTGAGGACCAGAAAGGCCAGGGCACTCAGGAAGGCCCAGCACCAGCCCAGGCAGAGGGCGATTGAGCTCGCAATGATTTCAGATTTTAAAAATAAATATAAATAAATATATCCCAAGCATCCGGTTAGGAGAATCAATGGCAAACAGAAGACCTTCCAGCCAGGTCTAGAAGCCAGGGCTCCCAGAGACCCTGCGGGAAGCCCTCTGCGGCGCCCCAAGCCCCAGGCTTGTCCCCTGCAGGGAGGCGGGACAGGGACAGCCAGGCCCATGGGGCCGGGAGGCGGGAGCCCGGCAGGTGCTGGGAAAGTCACTCCTTAAATTAAGGCGTTAGGGGTGCCAGAAGAGGGAAAGGGTACGCACACAGACCCTGATGGGTGCCCCCAGGCAGGCAGAGTCCCCACGCCTCCCATGGTGGTCCCACCACCCAGGCTCCTCCGGCTCCGCACTTCCCACCCGCCACCGGGAGGCACAGCTGGGGGGCCGACAGGGAGAAGCCAAGCTTCCAGGGCCGGGAGG